GAACCCTGACCGAGCCAAAGAGGAAGCCGGTGACAAAGCAACCAGCGATAGCGAGAGCAGCGAAAGAGGCCGCCCCCGAAGATACCAGAACAGCCTCCGAAGCAAAACCCAGCCCTGCACGTAAACCAGCAGAGCAAAGATCAGGCTCCCACACAGCTGCTTGGGCAACCCCCGAGTAAACTGGGCCCCCCTCAAAAACAGCAGAAGGTAGGACTGCAACCAGAGCAAGGCGGGAGGAAAAAGGTCTCGGTCTGAGAATCCCACACGAGTTCCAGCCAAGTCCAAACCTGGGACAGAACTAACTGGGAGTCGTGCCAGTTCACCAAGAACCCGAACCCAGCATGCTGGAAAAGAAATAGATCCCTGGCTAGCAGACAAGCAGACCGGCTGGGAGCCCATACCAACCAGTCGTCGAGATAGGCCAAAACCTGAAGTCCTAGCAGATGCAGAGGAGCCACCATGACCAGAGTCAAGTGCGTGAAAATGAGATACCTGGTTGATACCTGGTTGATGAGGTTCTGGGAGTTCTTCCACTCCCCGAGGCCAGGCTCGACTTGTGAGAGTTTGGTCCACCAGGCTGTTGCTTGGAGCGGCCCGCAGGGCCACGTACCCACCACAGCCCGGCTGATCCGGAACTTCTCTTAGAAAACCGTCCAGTTTTCTTTTGAAGATGTCCACGGTTGTTCCGGCAATATTTCTTATAGTCGCTGGGAGGACGTTGAACAACCGCGGACCTCTGATGTTTATACAGTGCTCTCTGATTGTGCCTATGGCACCTCTGCTCTTCACTGGTTCAATCTTGCATGTTCTTCCATACCGTTCACTCCAGTACGTTGTTATTTTACTGTGTAGATTTGGGACCTGACCCTCCAGTATTTTCCATGTGTATATTATTTGGTATCTCTCTCGTATCCTTACTAGAGAGTGCATTTGGAGAGCTTTGAGACGATCCCAATAATTTAGGTGTTTTATCTCGTCTATGCGTGCCGTATATGTTCTCTGTATTCCCTCTATTTCAGCAATCTCTCCAGCTCTGAAGGGGGAAGCGAGTACTGAGCAGTACTCGAGATGAACAACACAAGTGACTTGAAGAGTACAACCATTGTGATGGGATCCCTGGATTTGAAAGTTCTCGTAATCCATCCGATCATTATTCTGGCTGGCGCGATATTTGCTTGGTTATGCTCCCTTAACGTTAGATCGTCGGACATCATTATTCCCAAATCCTTGACATGCTGTTTTTCTACTATGGGAAGATTCGATTGTGTTTTGTACCCTGTATTATGTTTCAGATCCTCATTTTTGCCGTACCCGAGTACCTGAAATTTATCACTATTAAACATAATGTTATTTTCTGCTGCCCAATCGAAAACTTTGTTGACATCTGCTTGTAGTTTTTCAATGTCTTCAGCAGAGGTAATTTTCATGCTGATTTTTGTGTCTTCTGCAAAGGACGACACGAAGCTGTGATGTGTATTTTTGTCTATATCGGATATGAGAATAAGGAACAGTAGCGGTGCAAGGACTGTACCTTGAGGTACAGAGCTTTTAACATCACTTGGACTCTATCTGACTGTTACTCTTTGTGCTCTGTTCGACAGGAAATTGAGTATCCAGTGTCCTACTTTTCCAGTTATTCCCATTGACCTCATTTTGTGAGCTATCAACCCATGGTCACATTTGTCGAACGCCTTTGCAAAGTCTGTGTATACAACATCTGCATTTTGCTTTTCTTCTAGGGCTTCTGTGATTTTGTCATAGTGGTTCAGTAACTGTGACAGACAGGATCTTCCCGCTCTAGATCCATGTTGTCCTGGATTGTGCAATTCATTGTTTTCCATAAAACTAGAAATTTGATTCCTAATCACTCTTTCAAACACTTTCATTATGTGTGATGTTAGTGCAACTGGCCTATAATTTTTTGCCAAGGCTTTACTCCCCCCCTTGTGCAACGGAGCTATATCTGCAGATTTAAGTGCTGCTGGTATCTCCCCTGTATCCAGGCTTTTTCTCCATATTACGCTGAGTGCTCTCGCTACTGGTACTTTACATTTCTTTATGAATATTGAATTCCATGAGTCAGGCCCAGGAGCTGAGTGCATAGGCATATTGTCAATTTCTCTTTCAAAGTCTTCCAAGTTTGTGGTAATATCCGTTATATTATCTGCAGCTTGAATGTCATTCATAAAGAAGCTGTCTGGGTCATCAACTTTCATGTTTATTGGTGTGCTAAACATAGCCTCATACTGGCTTCTTAGAATTTCACTAATCTCTTTGTTGTCCTCTGTGTACGTACCTTCATTTGTAATTAACGGTCCAATACTGGTCGAGGTTTTGGATTTTGATTTTGCGTATGTGAAAAAATATTTCGGATTTTTCCTTATCTCTTGTATAGCTTTCTGTTCCAATTCCATTTCCTCAGACTCATATGATCGCTTCAACGTTTGTTCTATTTCTTCGATCTCCCTGCTTAGGCTTGTTTTCCTTGCTTGTGATAGTTGTGTCTGCCGAAGCATTTCAGTTATTTTTTTCCTTCTGTACAGTCGTCTGCGTTCTCTTTCTAGAGTGGTCCTCTTTCTGCCCCTCCTCACAGGTACGTGCTTTAAGCAGACCTTGCAAGCTTCAGCTGTCAGTTGAGCTATTCCCTGTGTGGGAGTTTTGTCGCTTAAGACTGTCTCCCATTGAATGGTTGCAAGGTCTACATTTATTTTTTCCCAGTCAATCCTCTTATTGTTGAAATTGAATTGATTGAATATTCCTTCTCGCTTGTTGGGTCTCTTAGACCTACTACCGTTATTTATGCTAGTTCGCACTTCAATGAGCTTATGGTCTGAGTATAAGTATCTGAGATTGTGATGTCTCTGATTAGTTCATCATTGTTTGTGAATAACAAGTCTAGTGTGTTTTCGTTCCTAGTTGGTTCTGTAATCTGTTGATTGACCGAGAATTTGTCACAGAATCTCAAAAGTTCTGACCTGTGGTTGGTTATTTCCCGGGTCATTCCCTGCTATGATATTTGTGTTTGCCATTCTCCATCTTAGACTCGGTAAATTGAAATCTCCAAGGAAGATAATATCTGGAGCTGGGTTTGCTAGGTTGTCAAGTATGTTCTCTATTTTGTGCATCTGCTCTGTGAATTCCTCAATCGTTGTATCTGGCGGTTTATATATTAGAATAATAATTAGGTTTAGTTTCTCTACCTTAATTCCTAGTACCTCTACCACCTCATTAGTTGAGTTTAGTAGTTCTGTGCATACCAGGTCTTTAATATACAGACCTACTCCTCCATTTGACCTAGTTTTTCTATCACATCTATATAAATTATAATTTGGAATCCAGATTTCACCATCCATGTAATCTTTTGTATGAGCTTCCGTGAATGCCCCAAATATTGAGTTTGACTAATAGGAGGCCATTTATGAACTTCACTTTATTTCTTGACTTTGGCTTTAAACCTTGAATGTTTGCAAATATGAATGATTGTCCATATTGTGTGTCACTTCTGGAAGGTTTTGGTAGTTCTCCATCCTCTCTACCCTGACCCAGGGTGTGTTGTTTTGGCAATGGTTTGTCCAGTTTTGGAAGTGATACTGGGGAGTGTGGTAGTCTCTGTGTAGTTGGGGGGTGTAGTATGTGTGGGCTTGATAACGAACCGTAGTCCAGTCTTGGGCATTTCCCCTTCCCCATCCGTACTCCTGCCATGTTTCTGCCTCCGTTTGTACCTGCCTCTAAAAAATTTTCAGGGCTATTATATTGGACTACTTCTCTTATATAGCGCTGTGTACCTCTGACGTGGAAATCGGGGCAATGAAGATCGTAGCATTTCCTCTCATTAACTGAGAGTTTAGATTCAGGCTAAACAGAAGACATCAAAAAGCAGTAAGCCTGTCGTCCCACCACGAAACTCACTTAACCCCTGAACCTCAGATGAAGAGAGATGTGTAATATGCGTCCTTGAGGTCCAGGGAAATCATCCCAGCTCCCAGCTCGAGAACAAGCCAAACCTGGGACAACGTGGTCATCCAAAAGGATGGGCAAGGAATCAACCGGTTCGGACGAGAAGTCCGGAATGTGCCGAAGATCCGCACAGTCCAACTTTGGAACTGGAAACAAGAGGAGGCCTGCCCCCAGAGATCAGACCCCCCATGGGAGGAGGGGCCCGCCCAATGCAACATAAGGCTAAAAGGAAACCTGAAAAGCCCATGAATCACGGGACTAGCCATGGGGCAAAAAGAGCCAGCCTCCCCCCATCGACCCGTTAATTAAAGGGGCAACCGGCGAATGGGTCAACGCAAACCCCGAGAAGCCAACTTTCACAGAGAAAACACTGGTCTGACCAGACAAAGGTCCCGGGGAACTCGCCAACACAAACTGGTACTAGGGGCCTACCCCGACTAAGAGGCCCAAGCCCTGGCATGACCGAACCAAAAGAGCCAGGAACGACTCCCTACCATCACCCCGGAGCACCAACAAATTCGGTATAGGACAGCAACTGGCCAAAGCTGCAGACAGAAACTGGGCAACACTGTCCTCTGGGAATAGCAGAGGACAAAACGGCAAAGAAGATTGAAGAACCATGGGCCCAAGCCGAATTGAAAGACAGAACAAGCACTGCCAGCCAACACCTGAGACGAGAGGTGAAAAACATAGAAACCGCCTCCCTGAGGATCAGCACAAATAGCTTCAGCAAGGCAGACAATGCAGCAGCCATTGCTGTGCTAATATAGCCATTGCTCCCTGTGCTTTTCTGAAGGGATCAGGTTCTGGTTCATGGTTCTCGGTAGGCAAAAGAACCGACTGATGACCCAACTAAAAAGCACCATATCAGTTCAGATAGCTTCGGGGAACTGATGAGGCTCACCACAGTAAAGTGAATAATGGGTAAGGAACAACGGATCCACCATGTGCAAGGTCATAACATTCACAAAAATCTCATCAAAACACCAATAATAATAATTTCTTTAGTATATATAGTACTAACAAAGCAGATTCAGCATTACCGACCACTCCTTTTCTCGTGGAGATTTTTTGACAAATTCCTCCCACAGGTGGCTGAATGGGCCATGCCCCAGGTCATGGCAGAGGCCAGCCACCTCCACACTCAACACATCTTCGTTAGTTATCTTCAGCTCTGGCTGACGAGATTGGATGGCACGCACTAGTTGACCAGCCAGGTGACACACGCTATAGAAACATACAAGCATACATCATGACTAAAAATTTAATATATTATATGAAATGCATTTGTATATAATATAATATTATTGTATTAATAGAAATGCATTTGTATATAATACTTCTTGGTAAATAATGTATGAAAATGTGCATGCATAATAAATAATAAATAATATATATATATATATATATATATATATATATATATATATATATATATATATATATATATATATATATATATATATGTATGTATGTCGTACCTAGTAGCCAGAACGCACTTCTCAGCCTACAATTCAGGGCCCGATTTGCCTAATAAGCCAAGTTTTCCTAAATTAATATATTTTCTCAAATTGTTTTCTTATGAAATGATAAAGCTACCCATTTCATTATGTATGAGGTCAATTTTTTTTTATTGGAGTTAAAATTAGCGTAGATATATGACCGAACCTAACCAACCCTACCTAACCTAGCCTATCTTTATGGGTTAGGTTAGGTTAAGTGGATTAAGGCGTCTTGTACATACCAGTTGCGTGGCTCCTGGGAGTATGGGTTCGAGTCACTTCTGGGGTGTGATGTGAGTTTTCAGTTGCATATTGTCCTGGGGACCATTCAGGCTTGTTCGCATATATATAGATATATATATATATATATATATATATATATATATATATATATATATTATATATATATATATATATATATATATATATATATATGTCATTTCATTATGTATGAGGTCAATTTTTTTTTATTGGAGTTAAAATTAGCGTAGATATATGACCGAACCTAACCAACCCTACCTAACCTAGCCTATCTTTATGGGTTAGGTTAGGTTAGGTAGCCGAAAAAGCTAGGTTAGGTAGGTTAGGTAGTCGAAAAACAATTAATTCATGAAAACTTGGCTTATTAGGCAAATCGGACCTTGCATAGTAGGCTGAGAAGTGCGTTCTGGCTACTAGGTACGACATTATATATATATATATATATCGTACCTAGTAGCCAGAACGCACTTCTCGGCCTACTATGCAAGGCCCGATTTGCCTAATAAGCCAAGTTTTCATGAATGAATTGTTTTTTGACTACCTAACCTACCTAACCTAACCTAACTTTTATGGCTACCTAACCTAACTTTTATGGCTACCTAACCCAACCTAACCTATAAAGATAGGTTAGGTTAGGTAGGGTTGGTTAGGTTCGGTGATATGTCTACGTTAATTTTAACTGCAATAAAAAAAATTGACCTCAAACATAATAAAATGGGTAGCTTTATCATTTCATAAGAAAAAAATTAGAGAAAATATATTAATTCAGGAAAACAGAGGCACCAGAAGAAGAATGCCTCAAGGTCAACTCCATGGAAATAGAATGGAAATAAGAGAAATCTCCCACGAGAACATTGGACACACCCCGCCTGTGAACCACCTGGAGAACCAAACCCCAAGAATCCAGAGGTTGAGCTACTCAGTGTCCAGTTACAGTGGAGGAAGTACCAAAGTGACCTCTTGCAATTCAGATAATGAACACTTCCATGGAACAGTCGAAATAGAGCTCGAGAACGAAGCTTGCAGAAACCTCAAAACAGGACAAAACCTATACAGGGTCTGCCACACCAAACTCTCTGCCAGTACTGTGAGGTTTTATCAGCACCGGACCCTGAGAGGTTTTATCAGCACCGGTCACAAAACCCCAAAACAGGTCTGAGGCATCCAATAACATATCAAGGAATGAACTACAAAACTGAACCACAAAAAGTCTGAAGAAGAAACCGGTGAAGCAAAAGCCAGCAAAGGGCAAACTGGACCCAAACCTGACACTCCTGGCAGACAAAACAGGAAGAACCAGAGGAACCCTAACACCATGACCCAACCTCTGACCAAGTTAAAAGTCATGCAGGCAACATTCAGGCTCCTGCAAAACCACCTAACCAGCCTTGAAGTAATCCATGGATGGTACAACACCAGACAGGGACAGCACTGCAGTCCCCAGGTCCTTGTCCAGGTACACCATCTTGTCTGTAACACCAGGCAAACCTGAACTAAAGTAGCCTTTTTAATGGTTGGACAGAGATTTAAATTGCTCAATCTTGAGAGATCAAGAGATTAAGAATGTACCATATATTCGACCACATCAGAGTAATGATGCCAGGGTGACCAAGCTGAGATGAGGGAAGACGTCTCACTCAGGACCCCTGAACCTAAAGGGATGGGAGTGGACTAATACAACCCAAAACCCTGGTAAACCACCCAGAAAGCCCACAAATTGCAAGACCAGGAACTGGCAAAATGGGACAGGCACATCCCCACAGCACTATCAATGGGGCAAAAGGGTGGATATAAAAACCCGACTCGAAGAGGCAACGGACAGAGAGCACACTATGGCTTGGAAATCAGGCTCCATCAGAGGCCTACCCCAACCAGCCATAGGCCATGGCCCAATCCAGGAAACCACCTAAAACAAGCAGGAATGTTTTGGTTTCAGTGCTTGGTGTTGCTGCCTTGTTGTCTGTGGTTCCAGCTTTGGCAGCTCCGACCAGATGCTCATCACTCCCTCCCTTTGGCAGGTGGTTGTAAACTTTTTCTATTATCATGTACAGTATTATGAACCTGCCTCACTGTCACATTGAGACCATATATACAAAAGTAGTCAAATTATTCTGCTCAAGGAGGAGTATTTTACAATTGCATAATAGAATAAAGTATACTAGTGTATTGTGAAAGTATGAAGCTTTATAGACTTATCAAGATCCCCCAAGATGTGGGCAAGCCTGTCCACAAAGTTACCCATTCACTGGCCAGATGCAACCATACTTCATCAAACTAACCAAGTGATACACACATCATCCACAGTTCCAAAGCAGTGACAAATGTTCCAAAGCACCTATCTTTCTTACTACAGTACATCCAAAAATTATGTGGTTATATGATCTTTAAATAATTTAACAGGTATATGCAGGCACAAACATACATTGCAATCACAAAATATGGCTTCATTTTTTAAAAAAAATTGATGGTTATAATCAAGAACTGACAAAATTCTACCACCTTACCCCAAGCTGTGCTCGAAGCGGTTGTGTGCCGCTGCAGGAAACACAAAGTAACAAGATCCCACCATCTTAAGGAACCTGGGAGAGGAAACACTCGCTGTAACAAAAGTAACACCTGCAGAAAGTCTTACCGAGTTCTCAGGCCAACCAGATGGAAATTATTGCACAGAAAGACCATAATCATGCTGTGAGAATGGTCTCTGATTAAAGTCCAAACTTCAGCTGAAGGTGTTATTTTTGTGACAATTTTGGTCACATACATGTTTAAGCAGGTAAGAAGTACCGACCTTTATTAGCATTCACATTAAAGGTGTGTAGGAAGTCGTAACTCAAGAGTGATCTCTCGCACACACAAATCAACTTGCCCATAGCCAACAGTAATGTGCCTTAAGAAGCAATACAAAATTCAAATGAATTTTGTGCAGTTGCCAAAAATCAGTGAAGAGTAAATGCGCACCCAATTCTACATTTAGGCATTTGTTGTTATTCACTGGGAAAAGTGAAGGAAAATGTAGTTGAAGCAGGACTTGGATATTTGTGGTTCTGTGTAAGAAAAAAAGATACACAAAAAAGATACACATCCATAACAAAAATGCGGGAAGGAAAGTGCTAAAAAAATCAAATAAAACATGCACATAAGACAGAACAATGAAATATGATACCATATATTAGTAAAAAGGCATTGCTTTAATTAAATAAGTGATTACATACATAACAATAGGCAAGTTACATGAAGTTAATATAAGCATACACTGTATACTACTACGGTAAATATACATGGTACATTCCTTCTATTCATATCACGTACAGTATAAGCAAAAGGAGGCAAACATCTTTGTTATGGCAGAACACCACATTTGCCATTTATTATGAAGGTCACCAGTGCTACTTAAAACTTACCCAAGAGAATGTTCAAAGCGATTGTGAGCAGCAGATGGGTAAACGAAGAAACATGATCCCAACTGCTTAAGGAATCTGAAGAGTATTATTTTAATATGCATATCAACTACAGATATGATGGGCTCAGTGCATACAGGAAGTGCACAACTATTATAGAATTTCAATATTTATAATATTTAAGCAGGAATATCAAAACTTTACCTAAATGATAATCACTAACACAAGCAGGATGTCTAAATCAAGCATGCAATTTACATTACACAAATGAAAACATAAAAATGCTTGTTAATTTAGGGTCATTCCATGTGAATTCACCAAAGGCCTCCCACTCGACCCTTTCTAAATCTAATGAAATTTTGTAATAAAGTAGCCCTGGACCCCAAATGAAATTGTGCAAAATATTAGAGCTCAATCAGCTTTGGTTCTTAAATAATAGGTCCATGTTCAATGGGGTCTCATCCCATTAATGCGGACATATCGTAAAAAGGGCCAACTTTGACCTTTTATCAAATCACGTCTAGTGCCTAGAGGTGTGAAATTTGGCATACCAGGACAACTTTTGGTGCGGAATACAACAGTAAGTCGGGAGAAATTTGGACCCCCAATTTGGAGACCACTTACTCATCACCAATAGGTCTAAACGCCATGATCTTTTGCAACGATGTATAACAAGCACAATATTACGCAGTGATGCAATAGCAATTCTGTTGTATCCATATGTCCAGAGGTGGCCCACTTGAAAGTTGGCCAAAAAAATTTGTGCAAAACTAGCCAACTTTTAAGGCTAGTTGAATGCTCAATATGCATCATTCCCAATTTGGTTTTAAATGACAATTGGATAGAGCAGATTTTTCTGTACAAAAGTAACTTTTATTTAGGTTGGGACCTGAATTCCTAGTTCAGCCAGAGGACTCTGAAAATGACATACCTTGGTGCAATATCGAAAAAAATCTAATTATGATTCTCCATCTTCTTCGTGCACTGATCATGACTGCTAGCAAATTGATATCCAAACTGATTGGAAAAATTTTAAGCTTCATTGGGTAGAACATTTTTGGGTGGGATTCAGAATTATTATTAAACAATCAGTGCTATTTTTGGTTCCTGTTCTATATTTATCTTTACATCTTTGTAGTATGTCAGCAGGTCAAACATTGCTGTTTACTTGTTTGTGTATTTACTTGCAATATATACACAAATAAATAAAAAGCAATATTAATGTATTACAGGTCTCACTTGAAATTACTGCATTCAGTTAAATAATTTTATTTGAATTCGATTGCAGATACGTCATAAATCAAGATTCCATTGGTTTATTGCCATGTGTTATTGCTAGCCATGAGCGTGGCTCTTGTGAATGTTACTTGACAACCTACACTCCCAACAAAGGCTTGAAGTTTCTAAAACAGTATAGTGCAGAAGATCAAAAACTGATAGCAAAGCAAAGTGAACTGAACTTGGATGGAGAATCTCAAGTATGCCTCTATCATGAAGCTTTGCTGTTGACGAAATTTGAATTTTTGCAAAAAACTTGCTGCAATCCCTTCAAGAAGAAATGCCATGTAAAGCGAAAAGACTTGCGACCAATCACAGTAGCTACTGCAGAGAAAATGTCATATGTTGAAAGTCAGTGTTAAGCCTGGCCAAAAGTTGTGCACATCATGCAGAAAGGAATTCAACAGTAAGCAGGTGAGCGAGTCCAGCTCTACCGAATCTGATGGCCCTGCTAATAATATGGAAATCTGTGAAAATGTAAACACAAGTTTATCAGTATTAGGCATCTCACCTATTAAATATCAACATGTTAGTGCAAGGGATAAGCATGGTTATGCAAAGCGCAAGATTAGTCAAGCACAGGAAATAATTGCCGAGCAGATTGCTGCAATTGGAAATATTGATAGCCAAAACCTGTTGGTACCAAGCTCTAGCCAACAGTGCACAAATTGCCAAGACTACAACAAACTCATTGAAGAAATGAAGCTAAAATTCCATGTAGCAAAGCGCCAAGAAAAAATACAAATCCTAACCCTCGTGCCACAAAGCTGGTCTATCAAAAAGACAATGGACAATTCAAAGTTTCAGAATACATGGTTCGCGAAGCTAGGAAGCTGAAAGAAGAACAGGGAATACTAGCAATTCCTAAGAAAATGCAGGGCAAGTCAGTTCCTGAGGAAGTGAAGGAAAGGGTAGTACAGTTCTTTGAGGGTGAAGAATTTAGTCGAATGTGTCCCAGAAAGAAAAAGAGTCATAATCAGTGCACAAAGAAGAGGGAGAATCACAATTTGATTTTTTCGATATTGCACCAAAGTATGTCATTTTCAGAGTCCTCTGGCTGAACTAGGAATTCAGATCCCAACCTAAATATAAGTTATTCTTGTACAGAAAAATCTGCTCTATCCAATGGTGTCATTCAAAACCAAATTGGGAATGACGCATATTGAGATATTTTGCCTTGAAAGTTGGCTAGTTTTGCACAAAAATTTTTTGGCCAACTTTCTAGTGGGCCACCTTTGGACATATGGATACAACAGAGTTGCTATTGCATCACTGCATAATATTGTGTTTGTTATACATCATTGCAAAAGATCATGGCGTTTAGACCTTTTGCTGACGAGTAAGTGGTCTCCAAATCAGTGTTCAAATTTCTCGCGACAAAATTTGGCAGTGATTTTAGCATGGATGGATAGTTGAATGGCCACCCATACTACTTTTTCGATTACACTACGTTATTCTACACCAAAAGTTGTCCCGGTATGTCAAATTTCACACTTCTACAGGCAATAGAAGGGATTTAACAAAGGGTCAAAGTTGGTCATTTTTGTGGTACTTGCACATTAACAGGACGAGAGCCCATTGAATATGGACATGTTATTTAAGAACTAAAGCAGATCGAGCTCTAATATTTTGCAAAGTGTCATTTGGAGTCTAGGGCTATCTTACTACAAAATTTCATGGCATTTGGAGAGGGTCGAGTGGGAGCCATAGGTGACTTTTTGGTGATCTGAGAAGGAATGACCCTTTAACAAATACATAGAGCTAGCTTTTTGCAGACCAACATATATATTAAGAACTTTATTGCATGCAAGTAATACACAGGGATAGTAGCCACAAAACTCCACTTCAAAACAAACAAAAATTCTTCCAAAAGCCAATAAAATTAAAAACTTGCTGTGTAGTTTTTAAAAATGAAAATTTTTATGAAAAAAATGTATTTGGTATACAGAGGACCACTTGGTTAGCAAACTTAAGTTATGCAAAAGTTCCAGTTTCACAATCGGGGTTGGGGTTTCACGCTTCCCGAACTAAGTTTGGGAAGCGAGGAAGCGGTCCACCAGGCCTCACGCCAACTCAAGAGTGGTTTGGGAGATGGCGTAGTTTGCAAACTGACCGTATTGGGTGCCACCAGTGCCTTCTATCCAGTGACGTCACAGATTCACGGCCCATTGTTTTGATTCTGTCACAAGGCTGGAGTGTTCATTCCGTGACTTGGATATATCTGCACAATCTAGGAACATCCATTCACCATGTCTGCTCCAAATGCACACATTGTGTCAGTGATGGCTGACTGGTGGATGGATGGGTGAGCAGGGAGGGTGGGGAGGGGGAGGTTATCTGGAGATGAATTTTGGGGCTTAGCGTCTCTGCGGCCCTGTCCTTGACCAGGCCTCCTTTTTGTTACACACCCCAGGAAGCAGCCCGTAGCAGCTGTCTAACTCCCAGGTCCCTATTTACTGCTAGGTAACAGGGGCATCAGGGGTGAAAGAAACCCTTTGCCCATTTGTCTTTGCCTCCACCGGGGATCGAACACGGAACCTCAGACTACGAATCCGAAGGGCTGTCCACCCAGCTGACAGGCACCCTATGGGAATGGAAATTTCCCTATGGGAAATGGGATGGCTGGCAGGCAGGGTTAGCAAGTGGGTGGGCATAACTTTATGAATGGATTGGTGGCCGACTGGTGGGCAGGCGTGCTAGCTAGTAGGCGAGCAGGTATGGGTGGGGTGGGCTGGCTGGTGGGGTGGCTGGCTTGGCTTGGCAGTTTTGGGTGGGCAAGTAGGTGAATGGATTGGTGGCCAACAGGACGGAAGGCGGGGTGGGTAGGTGCATGGGCAGGGAGGGTGACTAGGGTTGCAACCCGTTCTCGCACTTTCGTACAGTCAATATTGACTTATTAAATAAGTGCATATGTAACAAACTAAAATATTCACAATAAATTAGTATACCTTGAAAAGCTTCATAGAAAACACCGACCTTATCTAACCTTCTTAGTATGTTAAGATAAGCATCTTATTGCTTCGTAATTACAATTATTACTTAACCTATACCTATAATAGGTTATACCTATAATAGGTTAAGTAATAATTGTAATTACGAAGCAATAAGATGCTTATCTTAACATACTAAGAAGGTTAGGCAAGGTCGGTGTTTTCTATGAAGCTTTTCAAGGTAAACTAAAATATTCACAATAAATTAGTATGTCACATATGCACTTATTTAATAAGTCAATATTGACTGTACGAAAGTGCGAGAACGGGTTGCAAGTGGTGGACTGGCTGGGAAAATTCAGTGTGGATGGATACATTGGTGGCTGACTGGTGGGCGGGCGGGTTCGGGCAAGGGGTGGGTGGGTTCGGGCAGGTGGGCGGGCAAGGGGTGGGTGGGTTCGGGCAGGTGGGCGGGCAAGGGGTGGGTGGGTTCGGGTAGGTGGGCGGGCAAGCGGTGGGTGGGTACGGGCAGGTGGGCGGGCAAGGGGTGGGTGGGTTCGAGCAGGTGGGAGGGCAAGGGGTGGGTTCGGGCAGGTGGGCGGGCAAGGGGTGGGTGGGTTCGAGCAGGTGGGAGGGCAAGGGGTGGGTGGGTTCGGGCAGGTGGGCGGGCAAGGGGTGGGTGGGTTCGGGCAGGTGGGCGGGCAAGGGGTGGGTGGGTTCGGGCAGGTGGGCGGGCAAGGGGTGGGTGGGTTCGGGCAGGTGGGCGGGCAAGCGGTGGGTGGGTTCGGGCAGGTGGGCGGGCAAGCGGTGGGTGGGTTCGGGCAGGTGGGCAGGCAAGCGGTGGGTGGGTTCGGGCAGGTGGGCGGGCAA